GATAATCTGCTCTGCATACAGGTTGAAAAGGTATGGAGATAGGACACATTCCTGGCATACACCCTTGCCAATTTTGAAACATGCAGTGTTACCCTGCTCTGTTCTGACGACTGCCTCTTGATCCAAGTATAGGTTTCGCACTAGCACTATTAAATGTTCTGGGATTCCCATCAGTATAGATATCATAAAAAAACAAAACAAAAAAAACACAACACCAGTAACAGACATGTTGTTAAATGGGCATGATGGATGTTTCAAAATGATGGAAATGTTCTCCAGTTGGATTGTCACGGTGGCTACATCTGTATCTTTAAAAAGAACTGAATCGTACACTTACAACACTTCCTTAGTATATGAATTCTATCTCAGTAATAAAGTTTACAGCAGTCTCTTTTCTCTTACCTAAAATCTGTGCTATCTGAGCGGGTGGGAAAAGCAGTTGGAGACAGCGATTTAAGTAAGGAACGAGGTCTTCCAGGAAGACGGTGCAGAACTGGACAAAGAGCTCTTGCTCCTTGCTGTTGAAGGCAGCCTCCTCTGCACGATGGAAGGCCAGGATGACTTTGGTGACCTGGGAGACAAGAGCATGGCAACCACGTAAGCAAATCTATCATTACTATAGGACATGAACCCACACAGAAAAGTGCACCCCTCCTGTTGTCATGAAGAACGTTGTTCTAGTGGCAGGAAGCTAGCTGCACTGCAATCCCAGAGGTACATGGTTCGAATCCACCAGATGCTGTGCTGGAGAAGGAGGGGCAATCTCCTGCACCAGTCAGATCTGATTTGATGGCATACACACACACACACACAAATAATAAATTTAAAAAAGAATGTTGTTCTAAATCTGATACTATCACCTCACACATATGACTTCTGATCCAACTTATTTCACGCCACAGTTTCAGATTCCAGTGAAGGTGTTTTGAAATTCTACAGAGATTATGTTTCTTGAACCCCACTAAGGACAGACCAGAATGTGATGAATCCACATAAATGAAGCAAAAGTAGATATTTCTACTGAGTAAGATCATGTGAAAATGCCTTTGGCTGACAGTGACTAATGCTATCAATTTATTTTTTTAAGGTGTATAAACTATTAACAGACAAGGCCTATAGACTTATTTCTTCTTGGACACACCCACAGTACGGCCCCGACGGCCAGTGGTCTTGGTGTGCTGGCCTCGAACTCGAAGGCCCCAAAAGTGGCGTAGCCCTCTGTGGGCACGGATCTTCTTCAGTCACTCCAGGTCTTCACGGAGCTTGTTGTTGTCCAGACCCTTGGCCAAAACCTGACTGTACTTCCCATCCTTCACATCTTTCTGTCTGTTCAAGAACCAGTCTGGAATCTTGTACTGGCGTGGATTCTGCATAATGGTTTTATTATTTTTGTGTGAGTGTACCGTCAAATCAGATCTGACTGGTACAGGAGGAGATTGTCCCTCCTTCCTCGGCAGAGCATCTGGTGGATTCGAACCGTGCATCTCTGGGATTGTAGTTGCAGCTCCTTGCCACTAGGCCACCAGAGCTCCCCCCGATTCTGCATAATGGTGATCACACGCTCCACCTCCTCTTCAGTAAGCTCTCCTGCCCTCTTGGTGAAGTCAATGTCTGCTTTCCTCAACACCACATGAGCATATCTTTGCCCTACACCCTTAATGGCAGTGATGGCAAAGGCTATTTTCCGCCGCCCATCGATGTTAGTGTTGAGTACTTGCAAAATGTGCTGGAACTTCTCTGGGATCACTAGAGAAACGGCGGCGGCAGGCCTCCGGTAGAAGAGTAACGCTATCAATTTTAACGACACCTCAAGAGCCAAAGGTTTAAACTGTGTGGAAACTGCTCCACCCTAGCCTGTTACTATTACTTGTGGGCAGAAGTCCAAGGTGACCCTTAAGATTCCAGCCCCCAATATCCACACCATTGTGTAAGGGCAGACCAAGTGATTTGCTTCTACCCAACAGATTACAGCAAAGGTAAGTGACTTTGCAGATATAATCAAGGCCCCAAACAATCAACCCCTCAATGCATTTGAATTGTGGCATTGGAGAAAAGGACTGAGTATCCCATGGATTGCCAAAAGAATAAGTTTGTCTTGGAGCAATGAGGGTGCTTCTTGGATGCAAGGATGGTGAAGCTTCATCTCATATACTATGGACATGTTGTCAGGTGGAGCCAGTCCTTGGAAAAAGATAGCATGCTGGGAAAGGGGGTTGGGTCAGAGAGAGGAAGCCCCTCAACAAGACAGAGTGACATAAGAACTGTAACAGTGGGCTGGAGCATATCAGATGGTAAGGATGATGCAAGACAGGTCACGGTTCAGATCGGTTGTTCACGGGGTCACTATGGGTTGAAGTTGATTTGATAGCACCTAACAAGAAAAAACAGTCCCTACTTAAAATAGTGGATGTGGCCTTTGAAAGGTGAGGAGCCTTTTAAAAGTGGGTCCAGGAAGCAGGGACTTAGGCAGAAGAGGTGCTCTGCAGATGTCCAAGAAGAGGCAAACAGCCGTGCTGTGAACTGCTCCTGAGCACAATGGTCTCTGGAACCTGGGGCCTCAGTCCTACAGCTGCAGGGGCATGGCTCCTGGTAGAGGCTTGAGCGGGGCCACTGCCTGAGCCAAGGACATGGTGGACTCCTGACCCTCAGGAACCAATATCATAAATGTGTGTTGTTTTAAGCTACTTGTCTGCAATCATTAATTCTGCAGAGAGAGAAAGAATCCTCATGAAGAAGGCTAGTCAGTGTTTCTCCACCAAAAACTTTGTGAAGTCATGCTACCCTGCTCCAAGTCAGCAGACATCACAATCACAGGGACTGGTGGATTACAAATTCTGGCCAAACAAGGTAACAGAAAGCCAACAAAAATGCCTACCTTGGTAAGAGCATCTTCCAGAGTCCTAGTGACCTCCTGCACCAAGGCCATCGGGCAGCAGAGGCGTAGGTCATTAAACGCGACCAGAATATTGTTGAGGAAGCAGGCAAGGGGCGGGAAGTCTAACAGCATCATGGGTGGCTGCAGCGTCCCTGGCTGAGTCACCGGCATGGCGGTAGGAAGGTGGCTGCTGCCCAGGATTGCTGGAATCAAGATGAGGGTGTAAGAGTTCATTTCATCCTGGAATTTCTCCACCGCTTCCTGAATAGCTCTTTGGAAGGTTGTGATGGCCACCCGCTGGAAAACAGGAGCCAACTGGCCCCGGAAATCAGCCCCCACCCGACTGAAGGACAATCCAAAATACATGCACTGGCCAAGCAGGGAATCCAGGCGGCCGCCAACGCCCCGCTGTAAGTCGGCCTCCAGCACCTGCAGGAACTGGGAGACTTTCTGCAGCACCCAGCCATGGAAGATGGCGCTCTCATTCACAGTGTGCTCCCCCACAGCTGGGGGCAGCAGCGGGTCCTCATCTGAGAAGATGGCACGGTACTGGGTGATGATATCGAAGAGGTGTACACGACAGGCTTCAATGGTTTTTGTGATGTGGAAATAGGGATCGTCACTGGGGATGGCAGTGAGGATGGAGCGGAGCCAAGCATCTCTTGCTTGAAGAAACTTCACCCTCAGCTCAGCTTCTGTGAAGACATCCATGCGCCGCAGGTAGCCGATGACGCGGAGGCAGGCAGGGAGCTGGATATTGGTTCTGAGTTGCTGGATCAGCTGGCTCAGCATCAGCTGCATGGACTGGCGCACTTCGTTCACAATGCCCTGATGATACAGGGAGTCAGTTACACCATGCTGGAAGGTTGCCCATGGGAACCTGTCCCACTAACCCTTAACACTAACACTGCTTTTCTAACACAATGAAGACTCATCTATCTTATTGCTTTCAAAGACCTGACTGGGCCATCTATTTACTCATATGCTCTCACTGCATTAATAGAATGCAGCTACTCACCTGGCCTCATTCTGCAGCTTTCTGGTTCCTTGCTCCCTATAATCCAATCTCACACTGCCTGGTTTGCTCTCTTCCTAGATCTTAATGGCTTTCAGTTCCTTCTCATCATTTGGGTCTCATTTAAATGTTATCTCTCCTAAATGACCTTTCCTGATTGCCCTACCTAATGTAAGCCAACCCAGTCTCCCGCTACACCATCCCTTGGTTTATTTTTCTTTAAAAAAACCACTTGTCATCATCTGAAATGATACTACTTATTCATTTGTTAATCACCAGACTTCCCATGAGAAGCAAGTTTCCCGAGGGCCTCTTCTGCTTTGTCACACTATTCCCAGTGCCTAGTTCAGGATTTAATACACTACATCATTGCTATGTATTAACTGATTGAATGAATTAATGTCATATGGTTAAGCCTGTCACAAACATGCAGGGGTCTCCTTAAGATTTCTCCCTAATGAGCACAGTTACAAAAATATCAGCTTAAGTCCTCTCTGGGTAAGCAGGCTACCTGAATGACAGGAATAGAGGAGTATTTTCTTTCTAGTCGGCGTACGTAGGCTGCAAGCTCCAGGGCCTCCTCATAATAGCTGTTGCGGACACACGTGTCCATAAGCTGAGGAATCTCCAGAATTTCTAGGATCTCTGTGTGCCGGTTCAAAGTCAGGGTGTTCATTCGGCGGTCAGAGCTGATCTCCTCAGCCTGCTTCACGAAGTTCCTAGGAACAATCAAGAGAGTGCTGGTCTCTAACTTCTCAACACTTAACCCTTTAACTCAAACTACTAATGAAAAGAGAAAAAAAAATTGTATTTTATCCTTCTCCCCTCGTGGGCCGAATTTAGGGGTAGTGAAATGAAGAGGCACTTCTTGGCAGTTTTGCTATTCCCAAAGAAAGAATTTTTTTGTCTTCTTTTCACCTAAAAGCTTTGCAACATTCTCTGCTAGAATGTTAGCTGTTCTATATAAATACGCACATGCCTGTGAAGCTGGCATATCCAGGCACGGCGAGGACTTTTTTTACATAGGTTCTCTTCATTGCTCACAAATAGTCCTATGAGGGAGGAATGTGCTTTGCCTTCTGACACAACTTACTGTGCTCGTTAACAACTTCCTCATACTTAAAATGTTGATAACACCGACAGACAGAGGCACAGAGAGACATTTCAAAGGCTAATGTAAAAATTAAATGGATTAATGAAGCGCTTAGAGTAGAATCCTGGCACAAGGTGAGCTACGTGTGAGTGTCGGCTATTTCTACCACGATAAACGTCAGCGCTGACAGCTGTGAAGAGCTCTAGTGCTGCCACCGCACCTGCAGCTCTGCTGGAAGCTGGGCAAGCGGTCGAGCAAGCAGCCAAGCGATGCCTCCACGACCCCGAAGAGGCCATGGATGCGCTCGGTGCACTCGGCCCCGCGGATGAAGGTCTTGTAGTTGGCGAAGGCCAGGTCGCGCGTCTGCTGCAGCAGCTGCGCCCGCTCCTCCGCCAGGCGCTCGGGTTCGCGCCGCAGCCTCTCCAGCCCGGAGCCGCTCAGCTCCCGGAGGTAGCGGCCCACATCTGGCCGCTCTCGCCACTGAGCCTCGGGGAAGCGGTCCCGGAACAGCGACGCCAGGAGTCCTTCATCTTCCACCTCCCCGAGGGCTGCTGCTGTCGCCGATGCCATGGCCGAGGCTGGAGTCGAGGACGGAAGAGTCCCAGCCGCCGCCATCTTCCCGAAAGCCCTGTAGTGCGACCTCCGGTCCCGTGAGGGCGCTGCTTCCACAGCCAGCACCGGAAGCAACAGGCGCTCACTTCCGGCCTCTATAGCTTCTTACCCGGAGGCCTCATTAGTCCCATCGGTCCTCCAAGGTGAGAGGCGCTCGTGTGGAGGAGAGCAAGCGTACACTAGCGGGAGCGGCCAGTTTCGATGTTGTCTGGCAGCGGCTGGTGACAGACTTCCGTTTCCGGCGGCTGCAGCACGAGGATCCGCTGTTTCGGCCTAGCGGGAAAATGCGGCCTCTGACTGAAGAAGAGACTCGCGTCATGTTCGAGAAGCTCGCAAAATAGTAAGCGCACGTGGGACCGAGGAGTGTGCGTGACCGGCGGGGACGTGGGTGGCTTCGGGCGCGGGGTCGGGACGCATTAATGCGGGCGGCCCTCCAGTCTTGTCTTCCGCCCTCAGCATCGGGGAGAACCTTCAGCTGCTGGTTGACCGACCCGATGGGACCTACTGTTTCAGGCTGCACAACGACCGAGTTTACTACGTGAGGTGAGGCGGAGCCGGGAGGGCGGCTTGCCCTGCGTGGGACCCTGCGTCGCGCACGCCTGTCCTTCTAACACCTTCCTCCCGTTACAAACCTACAGTGAGAAGATCCTGAAGCTGGCCGCCAACATTTCTGGAGACAAGCTGGTGTCGCTGGGCACCTGCTTTGGGAAATTCACCAAGACTCACAAGTTCCGGTTGCACATCACAGCTCTAGACTACCTCGCGCCCTACGCCAAGGTTTGTCGGGTGGGCTCCACTTGGGAGGCAGAGAAATTAGGCATAGGAATAAGGGCCACACCTGCGTGCACTTTCCTTTACCAGGATTTCTGGCGTTGCTTAGGTGTGCACTAGAACAGGGAGGTATTTGTGGTTAAAGAGTCCCAAGAGGAGCTGTTTCTCCCAAGAGGAGCTGTTTCTGGAGTTGAGGGTATAACCCTCCGGGCAGTTAGGGATTAAACGGTTAAAGGAAAGATGATATACCCAGGTGGGGCTGTGCAGTTAACGATCTCAGCTGCAAACTCACCCAGAGACACTTGAGAACTCTGGCATCTCTCAGCTTCTGAAAAACCGGACAGTTGAGAAAAATGCTATATTGTTGCTGTTCTTTCAAGTCAACTGAGACTGGTAGTCTTGTGAACAGTAGATCTGAACTCGGCTCTGTCCTCTGCCGTCTTTGACATACTTGAGCACCTTGTTACGGTCACTTTGTCAGTCCATCTCCATAAGGGTCTTCCCTATCTTTGCTGACCCCTTTACCTTTCCAAGCATAATGTCATTTTTCAAGACGTGGCCTCTCTTAACAGCATGCTCAAAATATGTGAGACAGAGTTTCACTATCCTTGTTTCGTTGGAGGACTTTGGCTGCACCATTCCAAAGGAAAACTTGTTTGTCTTTTTGTCAGTTCATAGATAGTCACCACACTTTTCTAGCAAAACTCAAAGGCATTGATTCTTTGTCCTCTTTTAATCACTATCCTCCTTCCAGCTACATAGCACGTAGTTGAAAAGATTATGGTTTGGTTCAAGTGCACCTTATTCTTCAAACTGACATTGCTTTTCAGCACTTTGGAGTGGTCCCTAGTTATAGAGCCTCCCAGGTTACAATAAGACATTTTAAAAAGAAAACAAAAAAACAAAACACCATGAAATGTAGTTCCACACTAACATGAGGTTGCCATGAGTCCAGATTGATTGCATGGCAACTGTACTGTGTATTAAACATGTATCTGGTTTTTGATTAAAATTCTTTAAAGGGATGAATCAACAGGTACAATTTTTTTTTTTTTTTAAATAGTATAAAGTATGGATAAAGCCTGGAGCAGAGCAGTCCTTCTTGTATGGAAACCACGTGTTGAAATCGGGTCTTGGTCGAATTACTGAAAATACCACTCAGTACCAGGGTGTGGTGGTGTACTCCATGGCAGATATCCCTTTGGTGAGTAGAGATGTGTTTGGGTTTTTTTTAGAGTTAAGTACCTTTTTATTCAAGAAGGATCGACTTTGAAGATGCATGTTGAAAGTCATGTTTCAGTACGTTTTTAATTCTTCAAAAGCATGATAATGGTTTTTTGGACTTTTTTGCCCCAGCCTTCGATGTTCACTGAATGACCAGATAAATTGATTTCTCTTGAATCTCAGGGTTTTGGGGTGGCAGCAAAGTCCACACAAGACTGCAGGAAAGTAGATCCTATGGCGATTGTGGTGTTTCATCAAGCAGACATTGGGGAGTATGTGCGGCATGAAGAAACACTGACTTAAAACCAAGCTATCACAAGGATTTGTGACTGTGTGGAAGGGCTTTGTTTCCTGTGTCTGTGTAAGTGCCACCATTGATGAGTTTTGTCAACAGTGTGACCTCTTCAGGGACTTCTGGTAGAGTAGTTTATAGGCAAATGCAAGCTGGATTCTTGCTAAACAGAAATGGCTGGAATATGGGGTTTTAGGTCTTTGTCTCTGTAACTGAATAGAATAATGTGGTTTTTATTTGATTCAGAAGACATCTTGTCCTTAATTTTGAAACTAAGGACAAGAATAGCTCATTACTGTTATCTGTGATAACACTTTCCTTTTCTGATTCATGATAAGAATAAAATTCTCTTATTTATTAATACGAGGAAAGATATTTCTCAAAAAAGTAGGCCATGGTTTAGGTACTCTTGAGTTGTACTTATTACGGCAACTAATAATAACATGACATTTTAAGAGCAGTTTATTTTGGTTTTGTATGTAGTAATTGCTGTGTGATATGCGGGAAGACACCTAGACTTAAATTCCATTTCTCTTGTTTACCAGCTCTAAAGTCTTACTATCTGACATTAAAAATAGCTTTAACCATCTGTCCAGGTTGTTTTTGAAACTAGAAATCATGATTATCAGGCATCTAACACAGTACCTGACAAATATAGTTGTTAAGAATTACTATTTTTATATTGCGTACACTGAGTTTTTCTATTACTCAGTAGTGTTTTCTGAGTAGAATTTGTTCTCTTGTATTTTGTGAACTACATAGTTGATCTTTTCTTGATGCGATCTCAAACTGAAATATTCTCTTTATCACTTGGATTTCGTAAAGCGTCATTTCTTTTATGAACTTCATCTAGCTGGAATGTAAAAAAAAAAAAGAGAGACCCTGAAATAAGTAAATTCCTTTCTCTATTTTGCTTTTCAAAATTGTTTTTATAATTTTAAGATACTAGCCATACATGAAAACTCCAGAGTAAATAAATCAATTTCTCTGATCAGTATACTGCTCATTTTTTTCATTCCAAAGGGGCTATCTCAACTGCAAAAAAGTAACAATTCTTGTTTTTATGTATGAACTATAACTTGATTTTTGTCTCAATTTTTTCACCTTCTTTCTTTGCCAGCTTTGTTAATCTCTAAATACTGTTACATGATGGATAACGTTTGATAGGTAAAGTCACTATGTAGTATTTAACAATTAAAAGAGGAAATAACCATGTTCTTCAGAGTTACACAGATAGCCACAGAACATAGAAGGTGTGATCTTAGCCTAAAGTTGGCTTTTTTAGCAATTAGCCGCCTCTTGTCTCCAGCTTGGTCTTGCAAATCATCAACAGCTGTGAGGCTAGGATAAGAGTGCTTTCCCTACTGGAAAAAAGCAAAACTTGAGAGAGACTGGAGCAAGACCCTGGTGAGAGTAAAACTCTGTAGATGGTGCTGGAGAGACTATGGCTCTGTAAAAAGCCTGTGGCAAGGTGTAACCAGAGGAGCCCTGAGATAAAGACCACGTTAATGGTTTTGCTGCTCTTGCTGGATGATGGAAGGAAAAGCTGACTGCTCAACTGAAACCAGAGCCTGGACTAATTGAGGAATTGTGCCTTGGAACTACTGGACTAACGCCTGGCCTTGCATTGGGTGATATTCTTTGCCTCTCCCATTCTTCAGCTTACTTCCCTCATAAACCCCACTCTCGGCACCACAACTGTGAGTCAAGTCCATGAGTTAACAGCAAATATCAGACCCCAGTGGTTAACAGAAGGAAGTACAGAAGCATGGAGTGGTGGCATCTTTGCTGCTATAGATATTATGGATGGGGGCCCTTCTCCTTTATGAAGTAGTTAAAAGTCAGACTCGGCCACCGCTGTCTTCACGTTCCATCTGCTCCTTTCTAAAAAAAGAATGTCAGAAATTGCTACTTCTGAGAAATGGACAGAAAGTAGAGAAAAAGTGGTTAACAATAAAAATAGCTTAATTTTTAATGTTTTGTCGATTTAGACAGTTTGTATTTTTATTTTCTTACATGTTATTTCCAAATAAAATTTTTAAGAAAACAGAAGAAAAAGATCTTTCACATTGTTTTTCTTACGAATCTTCTTTGACTAGTAGAGCAACAGATGAAAACTTTGACATGAGATAAATTGATAATTACATAAAGTTTATAAAGCTGATTTAATGATTTTCTGTGCCAGAAGGGAAAACACATGTAATTGTCCCAGCTTAGCACCTTGGCTTCTTTGTCTCTGTAGTTGTTGGAGCATTGAAGAGACGCTTTAAGAAATAGAGCTGCAGGATCCCAGAAAGAACAATAATAAGGCTTTGGGCAGTTGACCACCAGTTCACATAGGTATAGTTTGACTGGAGAAGGAAAAAGTCCGCTGTTTTCCTCATTCGGGCAAAATTGTAGTATCGCCACATGTGAAAAATATTATTCTGCACCTTTCGGGTACTCTGCTGTGGAAAACAAAAATTTTTTTTTCCCTCTTAAGAGAAAGCTCCCCGGCCAGCACATTCATCCACAACCAGGTATTCAACAAGTACCCATGAGGAAGTTAGTAGATGACTCAGGTCATTTTGTGATAGGTAACAAGGCTACTGTTTTGTTCTTAATTAGTTATTTTTGTGGTTTATGAAAAAATGGATTAGAATTAGTGGTTTTTTAGAAAAAATAAAATTATACTGAAAAATATTCAGACTTTAATGAGGTTTTTTACAAGATTTCTAGATAGATACTTATCACATCATTACAACTTCCAGGTGCTTTGTCCAGAGCTGTAAAGACATTTCTTTCTTGGCTGTTGATAAGTATCAAGACTAAGGAAGACTCAAGAGTTAAGCCACATGAGCCCCCCACATCCCCATGAGGCTGGTGGCATGAATCATCACAAGATCAGTTTGGACACCGTCTCCAGTCTATTTCAACAAGGCTTGTGCTAGACATTATCATTTGTATAGAAAGTAGAGCTTCAGCCCAGCTGTCAACCTTGATAAATCATAGAACTTGGTTAGTAGTCAGTTGATAAATGCTGCCAAAAATTAAAGAGTTCCCACAATTGATGTGGTACGATTGGATGACTACAGAGTTTTGTGGAAGAGCAAGCTCCAACTAGCATGTCATCGTGAAGGCCAAATGCCTCAGCACTTTTGCTGAAAAGACTTAAGAGTGTCAGGGATGGGAGTGGGAGGTATTTGGTGGCTTGAAGTTACATGGAGGCTAATGAAATAGTAACTGCTAAAAAAACCCCTCCACAACTGAAGACATCCTGCAGACCAATAGAAGATAGTTGCAAACCATAGTAATAAGAGTCTAGTATCTAAGATACATAAAGAATTCTTTAAAACTCCACAACTTGACTTAAATATGCACAGAGAATTTGGTTAGACATCTCTCCAAACAAGAATATAAATGGCTGATAAGCACAAGAAAATATTCAACATCTTTAATAGAGAAATGCAGCCCAAGACAGCATGTTGCTACTTGACGCATAATAGAATGGTGATAATCAAAAAGTAAAGATGTTAAGAAGGATGTGGAGATACTGGAACTCTCATACACTGTTAAGGTGACTGTAAAATACAACCACTAGAGAACACAGGTTGATGGTTCTGTAAAAAGTTAAATTACTTAGATGAAGGTATTCATATGTGTGTGTATTGACGAACACAATGTTTTTGCATATGTTGGAATGGTTTATTATGTAGTAATCATTTTGCTACTGACAATATGCTCGGAATAGAAGCCAGATGTTCATATGAAGTCCAAGCGAGGAAAGGTTTATAATCAGATATTTTGACTGTGTATGTGCAAGTTAATTTTCCCCTGGATATTAAAGATCAAAGTTAATTGTTTAAAATAGATTTGCCCATATAATAAAATAGAATTTAAAAAAGTTAAATTACTATGTATCTTAGCATTTCCATTCTTAGCTATATACTCATAAGACTTGAAAGCAGGAACTCAGAATTATTAATTATTCACAGTGGGGGAGTTCTGGTGACCTAGTGGCAAGAAGCTGTACTGCAATCGCAGAGGTATTCTGTTAGACTCCACCAGATGCTCTGCTGGAGGAGGGGCAATCTCCTGTACCAGTCAGATCCCGATTTGACTACACACACACACACACAAAATAAAAAAAATTTATTAGGATGAATAGATAAAATGTATCCATAGAATGGGAGGAATGATGTATTGATACGTAATACTGCATAGATAGTGTAAATACTATGTTGAGTGAATGAATCAGTAAACTATGTGATTGTATTTGTATGAAATGTCTGTAATAGGCAATGCAATAGAGACAAAGTAGATCAGTGGTTGCCAAAGGGTAAAGGAGAAAAGGGAATGAAGGGTGACTTAAGGGAAAAGGAGGGTGGATGGGTTTTTTTTAGAGGGGCATGTCCTCAGATTTTATCATTTTATAGTTGCACAATTTGACAGTTTGCACAACCTTGAGAACACTTAAACTATTTAATGTTAACATTTTATGGTTATGTACATTATATCTCAGTTAAAGATTGTTACAGACCGGAGTCTGTTAATTATATTTCAAATAAAAATCACAGTGTGTTGTTTTGGCCTATGAACTGGTTTGCTGATGAAACTAGTGAAGAATTTCTGTCCCAAAACTTTACTAAAACCTTTTCATAAACTGGATTCTAGCGAAAGACACCCACCCACCCACCAGACCCTCTTGCCTCTTTGGGTCTGCCTAAATGAGTAATATTATTCCCAACTATCAAATCCACTTGCATGGATGTTTCTCACCTCAATTGCATCCAGAGTATCATTCAGTTGTTTTCGTTCATTCTTCTCTTTTTGCTCCATCTCAGGCCCCTCATAGAAGACTCCAAAGTTCAGGTACACTTGCACAGAACCAAAACGGTTTTGCTGGTTTTTTAGACAAAGCTGATAAAAGCCTGTGGAGATTCCTGGATCATTACTAGGTCTTTGCTCCTCACCCCCTGTTATATTTCCCCAAAGGGTATCTGTGGTTTTTTTTGTTTTTTTTAAGTATCTTCTCTGCAGTGTTCCGTTTCCTAGTACAGCACTTTCTTCTCTCTCAGGAAGTATGGTGATCAAAGTTTTTATATGTAAGTTACTGATGATATCATATTTAACTTGTTGCCACACACTTTTAAATTGATGACTGTGCTTAGAAACACATTTAGCTGTCATTTGCGGCAACATGTTAATGTACTGACTGCAGTTTTAAAAATACTAGTAAATATGACTGACTGGGTAGAAATGCTTTCTTCCTTGTCTCCAATGTGTAATTTTTAAAGTAGTGGTTCAAGGGCTTGGTTGCTAACCAGATGGTCAGGAACTGTCTTGCTTCTACAAAGATTACAGCTTTGGGAATGCTGTGGAATGTTGTGAACCAGTTCTCTGCCCCATAGGGTTGTTATACGTGAATTGACTCAATGACAGCATAAGGCTCCGATGTTAGTAGATTAAGACGCAACAAACAGCTGAAACTCAGATTCTGATCCTTTTTGTACACCACTAAAGAGGGGAGGTCACCCTGGAGGACATTCTGCTGAATGAAATATCTCAGTCACAAAAGGACAAATACTGCATAGTGCCAGAATGGGACTGACATCAGGGTTGGGGTGAGACTGAGAAAAACTGGATAAATTATGTATACTGCTTTGAAACAAATAAGGGAGAGAACAGTTTAAAAGCAATATGTAATTGGGTATTACGGTTATAAGAGTCCAGAATGGAGGTTGTATAGTGGAGTGTACTCGGGGCGGGGGTGGAGGCGGATTGTATACCAATGAAGAAATTTTCTTTTTCAAAGAGAAAAGCGAACTAGGGGGAGGGGTGGGCAGGGAGAAAAATGCAACAGTGAAATGAATGGAAATCCAAAATCTCTGTAAATGTTCATTAAAATTATTAATAAAAAGAATTTTTTTTTAAAAAAAGAGGGGAGGTCACCATCTTGGATTCATTGTGTGGGGGTAAAGATAGTAGAAACATGTAGGGGGGTGTTTTTGCCAAACTTAGAAGACACTATTAGTATGTAAAACCCAGGGATGCTAAATATCCTTTAGTGGTTACTCTCCCATTGTTCACAATGAAGGATGGCCTTGCATCAGCTGTGACCACCCCACCCCAACCCAAATCTCTTTGAAGGAGTTCTGGTAACATAGTTCATAGGAAATTGCACTGCTAACCCAAAGGCAATGTCTGGCATTTCGAATCTGCCAGCAGTTTGATGAGAAGGACAGTCCCCTTGTGCTGTTTATAGTCTCAGAAAGCCTGGTGGAGGGTCATCTAGCAATGAGTTGGTTGTGACTCTATATTAGTGGGCTTTTGAATCTGTTTTACTGCTCCAGATTAGTAAAGGAGGAGTGCAAAGGTAGTATAAATGTTAATGCCTTTGGGTGCTAACTGAAAGGTGAGCAACCCCACCTCAGTGCCGTAGAAGAAAGGTTTGATCTACTTCTCAAAAATCAGCCATTGAAAACACTGTGGAGCACATAGCATTCTGCTGTGACACATGGGGTTGCCATGAACCATAGTCTCATGAGTAGAAATCTGTTGTTCATGGTGAGGATTATCTCTGTGGCTGGCTCTGGGGATTTCTGGTGACTGAAAAAGTGGGCTTTGTTGCAGACTGCAGCTATTTCACATGACCTTCCATTCTCTTGTGATCTGAGTCTTTAGGTACAGAATCAAGTATTCTGATGGCTGGAAAGAAGTGCCATCCCATAATAAATGTATTCACTAAGACTATATTCTACATGGGCCTTTGTCTGAATCTGATCAGTTGGGGATGATGAACCGTGGAAGTTTGGAGTCATCCATAGAACATGACCCAACACTTCCAGTGAACTGCTGCTACATGTCTTTGTGTACCAGCATCTCCAAGAAAACTGACTGATAGACGGATTGAAATCTAATTTTTTTCCAAATTATTTCATCATTTCTATTTGGAAAAGGCTGGTCTTTTTATTTGCTTTATTTCAGCATATCCTCGTTTCCTCAGTTTTATAGAAATCTGTGACTATTCTAATAGCTAGAGTGATGGGAACAGACCTGTCTCTTGGGTATAGAAGTTAATCTGACCCCGAACATCCTCAGAGGTGTCTATCAGGAAACCTTGAGGAGTATGTGCTGTGGCAGCAACATGTCGATCGTGTGACATTCCCAGTGTCCGCTGTACCTGCCAAGACACATTAAAAGAGAAAAGCCCCTACTGTGGTCATTTAAAGAGAGGAAGACCCTCAACAAGAAGGACTGACAGTGATTGTACCACTGGGCTCAAGTATATTGGAGAGGATGAGGATGACACAGGGCAGAGAGCAGTACAGATTTTCTGCTCACATAGTCACTAACATCACCAAGAAGGGAGCCCTGGTGATCTTAGTAAGGAGTTGTGCTGCCAGCCTATAGGCACATGATTCCTTGGGAGAAAGATGGGCAATCTCCCACACAACAGCCTCTGAACATGTGCAGGAGGATCAGCCACGTGACTTGATGGCACAAGAAGCCAAGTGTTAAGGTTGACATATCAGCACAGTAGTGCTCAATCGGGGATGGTTCTCTGTCTCTACCCTTCCCTATTGAGATATTTGGAATTGGACAGAAGCCCTTTTTAGTTGTCCTTTTGGGGTGGCAGTAATGGCAGATGCCCTCCAGTGGGACAGTATTGCAGGAACAGTTGTGTTGCTCAAAATACCAGCAGTTCCTATCCCGTTGAGAGAAAGCACATCTCACAGCCGGAGTGTATCAGTTGGTATGTATTGTTCTGGCTGTAGAGTCAATGAACTTTCTTGGGTTTTGAGCACCTTGGTGGTGTCCTAGACTTGGCTTTATTTGCTGCTTGACAGCCTGACATTCTCACCCCAAGCTGGATCTTGATCAACTCAAAGTAAAATGAACTGGCCAATAACTCCTGCTGTAATTTAAATTCAGATAAGAAACTTAAGTGACTTTTAAGTTACAGTAAAATCAACATGGTCTGTTACTATGTCAACAAAAATTAGAAAGTTAACAGGTTTTAAGATAGAGAACAAAGAACATGAACAGCCCTAATTTTAATATTGAGCTGCCATCCTTGAGCATATGTGTAAGATCACATTTGAGACATTTCAGAAGTTGTGCACTCTGAAGGATATTTAAGATGATCTGTCCAGCACCATATTTCTTAACAGGGCAAGTGAAGAGGAAGATTGACCTGTGGTCGCATCTTTGGGCTCAAACATAGCAAGGATTGTAAAGAGAGCATTGGTTTGTTCTGCTGTACCTAGGGCCACCATTGAATTGGACCTCAACAGTCATGCCTCAGCCTGTTCCTCTGTACATCTCGTAGCTCCCTGAATGGCACAGATTTGAGTAGTATAGCTTCTATATAATTAAATTGAAAATGTTTACTTTCCTTAAGGAAATACAGTTGTTGGGCAGAATTAAAAAACTTTGTACCAGTGGTTCTCCAGTTTGCAAGATCGATCTATCCCTAAGTACAGGAGGACAGATTTGCTCCCTCTGCTCCATGAACTAACACAAGTATCTGTGAAACCCAGACTACAGACTTTTTCATTCATATTTGTACCACATCCATGTCTAAATCAGTAGGTTGGATAACATTTTCATTAGGGGGTATCTTGCATTGAGTATTATTTGGGGGAGACTTTGCACACACTTTCATGACCCTAGTCTGAGACATCAAACCATATGTTTCAGTTCCCACTGATGACTCATCACCCACTGGCAGTCCCCATCTAGCTGGAGGCCCACTTCATTAGCAGGCAGTGACAACACAAAAGACTGGAACCTTGATTTAGTCTTAAACCTGACCTACTTTACCAAGGGAAAAAGCCCTCAAGCACCCACCTCATAGCTGAAATAGAAGTATCCCGTCTGGTGGGCAAATTGCCAGAAACATTCCATGCCTCCTGGTGGGATCATGATGGCAAAGTCATATCGATCAGCTCCACGGAACAGTGGCTGGTCCCCGGAGCCACCTAGGGGTTCTGTCTTCTGGCTCCATGCAGAGGCCACCAGGTTCAGAACCACCAGCCCAGCGCCAAAAAGCATGAGTGACATGGTGCTTTCCAGAGTCCTCTACAGGTGCACTGCTTGCAGCTCGGTGGGACCCAGCAGTTCACATAGTCGCCAGGGTAATCATTAACTACAGAGCCACACTTAGGCCAATTTCAGGGTGACACATAGATAGCTTATAATAGAACCAGTAAAATTTTCCAAATGTTTGGCATATAGGAATTGTTCACTTCAAAATCTTAATGGCCTACAAAACCTACTTTTTAGCCAATGTAACCAAACTGTCAGCAAACTTTATCTTACTTGGATCCACAGTCGGTACACTTAGTACTAGCAGTCAGTAGTTCAGTAGACTTGTTCACTGGGAAAATCTGTAGTCCGGGACCTCTCCAGATTATTGAGGAGCATTGATATCAGTTTGAGGATTAAAGTGTGCCTGATCCAGCTCATGGTCAGTCACTTGCCATGCATCTAGGAGCTGGACAACTAGTTAGGATGACAAGAATCAATGCCTTTGAACTGTGGTGTTGGAGGAGTGTCATATCCTATGGACTGCCAAAAGAACAGATATGTCTTAGAAGAGGTGCCGTGAGAGTGCTCCTGGCAGGCAAAGATATGAAGATTCATCTCAGGTACTTTGGGCATGTTCTCAGAGAGGCTATTCCTTGCATGCTTGGAAAGGTGAAGGGACAGCGAAGGAGAAAAAGACCCTCAACCAGGTGGACGGTCACAATGACTGCAGCAATGAACTTGATTGTGTCAGAGATTGTTAGGATGGCACAGAATAGGATAGGGTTCTGATCTGTTTGTGGAGTTGCTGTAAGTCATACTCAGCAGCACCTAACTATAACCACCACCTCAGAATAGATTTCCATCATCCTTTGGGGTATTTTCCATTCCTGTTTGAGAATGAATATTGTTATGTGCCATTGCGACCCTATGTACAACAGCTCTGAAGCCTGCCCTGTCCTCAGCCAGTCTCACTGACTCCTGTCACACCTACCCCCATCGCCCCAGTTACTGTATTAATCCATCTCATCCATGGTCTTCTCTCCTGCGCTGTTCCTCCACCATTCTGAGCATGGTGTCGTCCTCCAAAGATCAGACCCTCCTGGCCATGTACCCATGATGAGAGACAGAACTTCAGAATCCTAGCCTCCAAGGAGAAACTTGGTTTCACCCTATCCAAGACAGATCTATGTTTTCTTGGCGGTCCATGATATGTTAAAGACTCTTCTCCAGCACAACTCTTCTGTCATCCTTAGTCTTTGTTCAGCTCTCTGATGCACTGCAAGTAATTGTGAAGACCATAGCCTGGATCAGGCACACCTTAGTCTCTAGACATCATTGCTTCTCAGTACTCTGGAGAGGTCCCTTACAGTAGATTTTCCCAGTGCAGTTTGTCATTTGATTTTCTGAATGCTGATGCCAGGTGTGTTGATTATGGAGCTAAGCAAGCTGTGATTGTTAACTGCATTCTCTTCTCCATCCATCATGGTGCTGCTAGTTGGCCCAGCAGTGAGAATCGTTGTTTTTTTGATATTGAGCTTCAATCCATTTTTCCCCCGAATCAATATTTAAGATGACAATCCTTGACTTTCTGCAGCAAGCGCTTCAGGTCCTCCTCAGTTTCAGCAAGTAAGGTTGTGTGTGTCATCTGTGTAATGGAGGTTATTCATTAATATTAGATGTGTTTATTTATAACCCCATGGATATGCTGACAAAAGTTGGCTGGGGAGATAACTCTTCGTATTCAGTTCTAATTGCTAGGTGATATCTGTTGCTCCCTAAGACCCTTGGGAGAACACGTGGTTCAGAAAGGCATTTTTCTGTGGCAAAACACATCATTCAAATGTGTATAAAACTAAATGGATAACTACGGGGACAGCAAGAGATAGTGGTGAAAACCTCTCTACTGACAATCCTTGTTCATCTTCTGCTGCCTCCCTCCAATCTGATAAGATCTAGTCATGAAAAGCTGTGCAAGACCCACTTAGACTACTGTTTCACTTTCTTCTTTTTTTGTGACTAAAAGCAGCTCATCTTAACACCCACTGACAGGTACATAAAAGGGATTCACCTGTGCATATTTCACAATGACCTTAGAAGTAGGAAGCACTGTTATTTACTGTCTTAGACAGGAGGAAACTGGCAGGCCGGGCAGGTCCCTCCACACCAGCAGAGACCCGGATGGGGCTCACTCTTAACAGTTTCTCTCAGACTGTCAGTCTCTTGAGTTCTGAAACTGAATGTTAATTCAGCAATAATATTAAAAAGGCAGAGTTGCTAAGAGTTAGAGGTGACTCCATAGCTTCTAACTAAGCACTGCTTCAGAATTCATTGCATTGGTTCCAAGTGGTAAAACAGCCAGAAGCTAATAGCAGACTTCAGAAACCTGGAGCTTAGTTTCGCTGACACCATATGGCATCACAGCACACCAAGGCACAGTGGCACAGCAGCAGTCCAGAGGGCATGGACAGAGGCTGGAGTCACTTCTCAGTAGGGGGACACGGGCACATCCTCCTGCCCCATTGCTGCTGCAGTCTTCACACATTAACAATGACATACAAGTCCCACTGATGCCACGGACCTCATACTACCTGTCATGAGCAGCAACATAACTCAAGAAAAGTTACCAGTTTCTATTTTATAATTTCAGAAAAGCTATAGGCAGATTTGTTTGTACACATTTCTGTTAACACTGTTAAAGGGCCTCTTCATCCTTAAATCTGAGAAATTGATGAGGATATTTCTGCTTCCCTCAGTGCCTCCTTTAATTTAAGCTCAACTCCACAGAAAGCAGCACATGATCCATGTGAAAGGAGGAAGGCTTCTGGATTCTGATCCAGTTTGGAAGGACACAACTACAGAGAACCCGGTGGCTCAAGTTGTGATTTTCTCACTGTGGTTTAATTTGGGGCTGGCTATTAGGATAGTAAAACACGCAGATAGGTAGTAACCCTGTGCAACGTTTACACCTTGTACCTATTGTATGAATTTTAAAACTTCAGCATTATTTAAAACCTTACCTTTGTATTCATTCAGAACTGAGGAAGTAACAATTCTTTGGCTCCAGAACATGTATACTGGATGAGGAAACTGATAAAACAGCAGATTCCACATTATCTACTGACAAGGCTTCTGTGGACTAGAAAATCCAAGAATATGACACTAGCTACTTGATCACTATAGTTCAGCCAAGTTTGTTCTACGAGCTACCCCTGTCTGTGGCTGCCTTCTGTGCAGCAATTAAACAACTGAACTCTGAGAGAAGCAAGACTTTAATGAAGAAGCTACAAGTTAACAGACAATATTTTTCATATTTTAAAAAAGAATACAGAAAACACTTTTACTGATTTTTTTTTTGGCTAAAAAGTCTGAGAGAGACAGCAAGCACAACACAGTACAAAAAGAGAAGGGACTGCTGAATGCTGGTGCAAGACACTAACACAGCACAATTAAGGGAATCAGGCAGAAGCCACCATTTCACAAAGAACAGAATTAAGCATTTACATTTACTTGAGTTTTGTTGTTGTGTTCTGAGATTTAAAAGTCCAGTGAGAAGGGATGGATTTGGGAAGGGAAGGAATGGGAAGCTAAGCTTATCTACAATCACCATTTTACCAAAAACACACTGGCTCAACCACATGGGAAGCAAAAGTTAAACCTGCCTATGTAGCCCTGAAAATATTAAGAGCAGATGCCAAGTCAGGTCTAGGTGTAGAGGTCACAGCGGGCTAAATGGTTTTTAAAGTGGCTCCTGATTCACCAAGATCTGGTTTCTCATTGGCTTGGGCTCATGACAAATTCCTTTGTATTTGCTCTAGAAGGTCAAAAGTTTTACCTGGAATAAGTTCACTCCAAAAAATGCCCATGTTGCTGGTTGTAACAGGTCATGGAGTCAAATGTGACTCTTAATAGACTGCACCATTCCTTAGAAGACTCCACTGATTACTGGGGATTTAAATTCAAGCAAACCACTAAAGAGGAAAATTATTAATCATGCCTTGGCACATACAAGCTAGATGCTTGCCTCTTCTGCCAAGGATATGGGGTGGGGTGGGTTTGCTTCTTAGTTCCATGATCTCCAACAGCACTGAGGTGGAACTGGGACCTCCCTCACAGAGGAGGTTGCCCACCATTCTCATCCAAGCCCAGCTTCCAAAAGAAACAGCAGACTATCAGGGGCTATTATTAGTAATCATGTTTGTTCTTGTTAATGCTGCGGAAATGAAAGCCTGTTTCAGTTTATGCCGAGCTTTTTCATGGTCCGCCAGCGATCCTTAATCATCACAGCTGTTCGGTTAACAAATGGATAATTTTTAGAAATGACGGCCCAGTTTCCTTCTCCATATTTCTGCACACCAGCCTTGATCCACTCACTTTCTTCCACCGTCCATTTCTGCAAAATAAAATCAAGACTCATGACAGTCTGTCTGCCACTGTATCCCATTTTCTCCAGCAGCCTACAGAGACAAAAACCAAACAAAGAATCCAAGAAAAGACAATTTGAGCCCAAAAGCAGGGTGGATATTTTTAACACTATCATTGTTCATTTAAGCCTTCAGTGATTTCCAATGTCTTTCATCCTCAACTGATAAACAGTTCTGTTCACTACGTCACATAATTGTTGATGTTTATGACTCAGAAAGTGTGTCATGCTTCTGTCCTACAATTTCCTTCCAAAGAAGAACTTAGTTCAAATGATAGGAAAAATCTGAAATAGATTTTAAATAAGTGAACGGTGTAGTTTGTGTCTATGAGAAGTGGGGAGTTGTTTTACCATTGTTCAACCCAGAGATGAGAAGAGAATTTATAATTACCTGTTTTCTTGCTCCTGTTACAGAGTCTTCATCTGGTGCTTCTGAAAAACATCAAAAAGAGGTCTCACTTTTTAATTTCTAACTCTGCACAAACCAAAAAAAAGCAAACAATCTGCTTCCAAAGGGAAAATTTATTTGAAATTTCACAAATACTGCCAAGTGAAAGGGGCACTATTAAAGACTAGCAGCTGTTTTATGCATTGAGACTACAAAGCTAAAAGTGCTTTATAAAAAGACACTCAATGGATGTTTATTATAAAGGAATAAATAGAACTAATGACGCAGTGGTAAAAGCACTGGACTCATAAAGGACAGGCTGGTGAATGAAACTTAACAAGGGAGAAAGATGTGACAATATGCTCAGTGAAGATTACAGCCTCAGAAACCCGAGAGGGTGTCCAACAGGGTCATTTGGTTTAGTCTAATGGATTTCAAACCCACGTATGCTTATTAACTCTCTGCTAACTGCTTTGAAATAACAAAAGTTTTATTGTCTTACAGCATAGTTTTCAAGTCCTAGTTAATTTTGCAAAAGTATAACCTGGTTCATTTTCCCTACGCAAAAGATCAGGGCAAGTATTGTTTTTCACTCCGTGCTCTGTTCAAGCTACATTCTCCCACTGTATGGACTAAGAGAAAATTGAGTGACACAGGGATGGCTATAGTAAACTCAAGCATATCAGAAGTCATGAGGGTGAAGCAGGAAAGGGCAAGGTTCAACTCCATTGTTCACAGGATCTCAGTGGGTTGTAGCTGACTTGATGGCACTTCTTTGAATATTTGGTAGAATTTACTGCTGAATCTGTTGAGATCAAGGATTTCTTTTCCAACTGGGAGGATTTATTTTTGTTTTTAAAATGACTTAGATTCAGTAGTAAATTCTACAGAACATTCAGAGAAGAGGTGACATCATTTCTGTTAAAATGATTTCAGAATCTAGACAAAAAACTGACGAGTACCAAATTCATTCCTATGAAGGATGCTTATCCCTGATACCAAAAGAAGGCAGATACTACTAAAAAGAAAATTATACACCATTATCATTCATGAACAGAAAAACTCTCAATATAGCCAATAGAATACAACATGATTGCAAAAAATCATGATAACATGAGATTCCAACCAGGTGTTAAAAAGTGATTCAGTAGTGTAAAAATGAGTGTCTGTGTGTATGTATGTGTATGTGTGTGTGTGTGTGTGTGTGTATATATATATATATATATATAAACAAAGGAAAAGACCCACATGATCATCAGTTGATACAGAAAAGACATTTGATAAAATTTAATACCCATTCTTGAGGACAAGCTGGTGGCTGAAACTTAGCAAGGGAGAAAGAGGTGACAATCTGCTCAGTGAAGATTACAGCTTCAGAAACTCCTCTAATTATGTGCTCAGCATATAGACTGAATAGTTATGGAGAAAGGATATAATCTTGGCACACATCTTTCCTGATTTTAAACCCTGCAATGTTTCTTTGTTCTATTGAAACAGCTGGTCTATGAGTAGGTTTTTCATGAGTACAAGTATCTGTTCTGGAATTCCCATTCTTCCTAATGTCAGCCATAATTTATATTATCCACACAGTCAGATGCCTTTGCATAGTCAATAAAACACAATTATCTCTCTGCCTAAATCCATCTGAAATCAGTAATGATATCCCTTACTGTATGTCCTCTTCTGAATCCAGCAAGTTCTTTCAAAAATTAATTTTACTTGCATGTAGTATTAATGATAATGTTTGATAATAATTTTGATAACTGATTATTGGAAAATCAATTTCCAAATTTTGGCTGATTACTTTTTCCCTGGAATTGGAACAAATACGGATCTCTTACAATCAGTTGGCCGGGTAGCTGTCTTCCAAATTTCTTGCCATAAACTAGTGAACACATCCAGAGCTGCATTAAGTGTCAGTCAATTCTTTCTAGTATAAATGACTGTATTCTATCCATCTTTGTGTGGTGCTTCCTGCATTACTCAAGATTTTTCCATTATCTTTTCTTATTGCAACTTGAAGCTTGAATTTATTCTTCAGTTCTTTCAGCTTGAGAAATGTGTGTTCTTCTTTTCTGTTTTCTAACTCCATTTCTTTGCACATTTTATTATCATTGTCTTCTTGAGCTGCCCTCTGAAATCTTCTGCTCATCTCTACTCAGCATTTCTTCTCTTTGTTTTGGCTTCTCTATGTTTTCTAATGCAAGTTTCAGAGTCTCTTCTGACATCCATTTCCCTTATCTTCGCAATTATTTTTTGCTTTCTTTACAAATGATGTCCTTGTTGTCATCCCTCAACACATCTGGTCTTACATCTTCTCCTTTTCTTTTTTTAGATTTACCAGTGGGATTTGTTGGTTTTATTTTTTCCTTCAAAGTACCAAGTTCAAGTTCTTTCTGTACATCAAGGATGTATCCTATTTCCATACCTTTTCAATCTATATGCAGAACAGATCATTCAGGAGGCTGGACTTTATAAAGAGGAATGTGGCATCAGGATTGCAGGAAGATTCAACAACCTGGGCTATGCAGATGACACAATTTTGCCTGCTGAAACTAAAGAGGACTTGAGGCATATGCTGCAGAAGGGTCAAGGACTATAGTCTTCAATATGGACTGAAGCTCAACATCAAGGAAACAGATTCTTACCACTGGGCCAACTGGCAGCAGCATCATGATAGAGAAAGAGATTGAGATAGTTAATAGTTCCACAATCAACACTCTCGGTACCAGCAGCCAAGAAATCAAAAGACAGATTGCACTGGAAAAATCTGGTGTCCTAATGATGTCAGTCTAGAGCCTAAGGACACCTGATACAGAGCCATGGTCTTTGGAATTACTTGCTGTGTATCAAACTGATGGACAATGACTAAGGATGGTAGAACAATTAATGCCTGTCAGTTGTGGTGCTGAAGAAGACTATGGTTTGTTAAACATACCATAGACTGCCAGGAGAACAAACAGGTCCATCCTGGTGAGGGTGAAATCAAGCTGCTCCCTGGAGACAAGGATTTTGAAGCTCTGTCTCACATACTTTGGGCATGTGGCCAGGAGGGACTGGTCCTTGGAGGAGGACATCATGCTTTGAAGGGTAGAGAAACAGTGCAGAAGAAGTCCCAGGAGATTAAGTGTGTTGGGAGATGATCAGATTGGCTCCAAATAGGACAGGGTTCACAACTATTGTAAATAGGGTTGCTGTGAGACATAACAACAACAACAACAACAATCTTTGTTTATGCTTTTCTTGCTGTGTAAGCATGTAGTTTGAAGTTATTTGTTGCCTACTAGATGTTCTATTGTGTACTGTCAATCAGATTTGATCTTCATGGATGTTTTCAGAGGCAGTAAATTGCATGGGAGGAGACCACTCATCATTCTCTCATGGAGCAGCTGGTGGATTTGAACCACATGCCTTTTGGGTTGCCAGCACAACTCCTTACCAGTAAGCTACCAGGGTGCCTTCTGATACCATGATGTAATTATATTTGTTTTGATACATTTGATGGAGTAGGGCATATGTGCTATTCAGCTAGCTACCCTGGCAGTTCTTAGTCTTCCACTTCCTGTCTTCTAGTAGCTGTGACATAGGAAAGTGTGTGCACAGATCTGTTCACTGTTCATATAGAGCAGATGAGAACAGACTAGGCTGGCTTGGGTTACAGTCAGTCACTCATCAAGCAGTGTAGGAGCAGATGTCTGCTCTTGCCCTGTGGGTGAAACTGCAGGAGATACGTGTGTGGCACTGTTGTTCTTATGGGTTAGCGGGGAAAGTCCTCAGAAAAACCCCAAACTGGGAAGGGTACAAAAGATAGGAAGAAAAGAAAAAGAACAGAAAGGAAAGAAAAAAAGACAAAGATAAAAAGCAAGTGATGAAAAGCCATCAACAACAGAAGTAAAGAAAGTGAGTGGGAGTGGATGGGTGGACAGACACTCAGTTGATGCTCCTGCTTCTGCTGAACCAAGTGGAGACAAGGTGTCTGGGGCAGAGATTCCTCTTTGGCAAGATATGCCTGAAATCAGGGTGCCCTGTCAAAGACAGAGCTTTTGCTACTCCAGGCAGTATATCTAGAGACAAAGCTTCTGCCAGCATAGGGGGTGTCTAGCATCAGGTCACCCAGCCCGAGACAGAGCTTTGGTCAATCTAGGCCATGAACCTGCCTGGGGTTCCTCCAGTACTGTCCAGTAGAGAGGACATGCTCCAAGTGAAGGGTGGCACACTTTCGGTGCAAGATTCACGATGGTATAAGCTTGACCTCAGGTAAAGGAGACAGGGTACACAAGGAAGACCACCGCTGCCCCCTGGTGGTTGTACACAGAGTACAGTCACCTGATCACCAGGAAAGGTTTGGGAACAAGGGAGAGTTTTTCATCATCAGCCAGCCACCAATATGGGTGCCAGCCCTGGATTCCTGCCCATCTGAAAGCTGCTTGCAAAGAATTACAAATGGCTGTGCTACATGAGGTCTAGTTACAGTTCTCCCACTCCGTCTCCTTACTCAATGTTTTCATTCAGTTTATTCTTTCATTTGGTATTTTAATTTTTTAGTGTATTTTTTTTAAGTTCCCAGTTCTAGGACTATCAGTTTTTACTTCAAGTCTTTGCTTTTAGTCAGTAATGTCTGTCATTTGCATCTACTAGATCATTAATGAGAATTCCTTTAATCCTGATGTTGTGTTCTTCAAATGATGAAAGAATATAACCTTCATGTACAGGTTCCACATAAGCACATAAAAGTTTTCTAGAATTCCTATTCTTTGAAATGTTACCTTTAATTTACTGTGATCTATTCAATTGGACATCTTTGTATAATCAATGAAACAGGTAAGTATTTTTAAAATACTCTCTACTTTTGCTAAAGATGCATCAAGTATCAACAGTGATATCCTCTGATCCACCACATCCTTTTCTGAAGCCAGGTTGGATCTGGTATGATATGAGAATTTTAAAATATCTTGTACAATCCTCAAGGGGAACTCTGATGAACTAGCAGGGAAGGAGTTGTGCTGCTAACCCAAAGGCAGGAAGTCTGAATCCACCAACTGCTCCAAGGAAGAAAAGAAGGGCCATCTCCTCCCATGGTTCTGAAAATCCACTGGAGAGTCAGCCATGAGTTGGTTCCAACTCCACAGCCCTGTTATGAGTTAAACAGTTCCCTAGGATTTCTTTTTTCTTTTTTTTTAAATTTTATTATTTTTTTGTGTGTACCGTCAAATCAGATCTGACTGGTACAGGAAGAGATTGTTCCTCCTTCTCCAGCAGAGCATCTGGTGGATTCGAACTGTGCACCTCTTGGATTGCAGTGCAGCTTCTTGCCACTAGGCCACCAGAGCTCGCCTCCCTAGGATTTCTTAAAAATAATAGTATTCTTTAAACATAAACTGCTTCTTTTAACAGTCTGTTGTTTAATGAGAAAGACATAAAAGCAAGTCCTTATCAAATGAGGAGTCAAGAACCTAACAGAAATCAAGCTAAGAACCTTTTAAACTTTGTCAATAGACAGTTTTTGAAATATAAACATGTTACATTAACATGCTAGTATACACAAGAAGGAAGGAATCTCCTAGCTTACCCTGAACTGGAAACAGTTCATCTTCTTCTAGCCATGTATCTTTCTCTTCAACCCCATTTGAGTTGTTCCATTTGCTTTTGGGAAGTCTGAAGAGAGATGAATCAGAAGACATGGTGTAAAATAAATTCATCCTGAATCTTTATATTCAGTCCTCCCCATCTCACTATGGCCACATTCAAAGTGTGTTCACATGACTCCTAAACCAACTGTCCTCTCTAAACTGGGTGGACATCCCACAGGCTGCAGAACATCCAGCAAACAGTTCACTGAACACTTGGCTGTCCCTCAGAATTTGGTCAGTTTTTTTTAAAAAAAAATCGTTAACAGGTCTCACCATCCTTCTAACCTAGTAACTGTGTTGCTCATAAGCTCTTTTCCACTGCACACCTCCATTTCTGTCTCCACACAGGTCCTTCTCCTTCCCATCTCCCTAGTTAAGCCCATGCTATCTTTTTGTATTTGTGTATGTCATAGTGCTTACCTTTCTAAGCCCATGCTATTTCTCACCATTATCACAGTAAGCTCTTAACTGCCACTGGCTCCTTCCCCTTCCAAAGCCACCAGAACCTCCTAGAATTACATCCCTCTTCTAGTCTCGGATGGCTTCATAGCCTCTGATGGCTCCAGGCCTGTATGGGAGAATCATCTCATCCACTGTGGACCCAGTCCATTTCCCCGCATTGAGGCCCTTCTTACCATTACTCCTCTACCACTTCCCACCTTTCCCCATCCCCCCTACATTCCTCCACTAAATGCTACCCTTTCCTGCCTCTCTGTGCCTGGGATTGCTCTTCCAAGTACAATCATACCTATCCTCCACAACCATCATTCTCATTCTAACTACCCCATGACACATAAAAAGCACCCCTCCTTCTAACCCTGTGGCACAAGATAGAAACTTCATTTAAACAGCTTTTTCCGTTTACCCTGAACCAGAAACTCCTTAAATGAAGGAGCTTTCCTTTCCTTTGTAAACCCCAAACACTCTAAGATGAGCTGGAGATACACTACCTACCCTAATAGATGGTCAGAGAACTACAAAGGGAGTTGCCACCAATGATCAGAATAGGAAGGAAACGAGAATCCTTACTGTTCACATGGAATGCTGAGGATTCTGATAAAGCCAAAAAGTCCCAACGCATGTAAAAAGATTTTGAAACCCAAATTATTAAAGAAATTGAAATTATAGCTCATCTTGTCTACTCAAATTCGACTGTGTGTATATCTGATGAGGACTCTGAACTGCGTTACATATACAGCTGCCCTAGGGAGAGAGACAGTACAAATAAAGATTTCAGAATTATGGCATCTTTTACAAAGAAAGTATCAGAACTAAGACGTTTTTAGATTTAAATAGTTCAGGATGACCGTAAGTAGCAGATACAAACTTCTGCTCTTCCATCCCATGAAAAAGGATCTATAAGGCTGGCTGAGATTTTTACAAATACATGATGAAAAAGATTTACACAGTCAGTACATAACCTTTGCAGGAACAAAATCTTGAGTTCTAAAAGTTTGCCATGAAATTAGTTAACCAGTTAACTGAGGCAAATGGACTATTTACTCCCTTTGTTTCAAAAAGAAATTGTATCTCTAAAATATGTTGATAAAAATTTTTATCCATTTTTTCCAGAGATAAAATGGGAATGACATTTTACCTTCTCAGGATATAAATTTTGTTAATTTCTACTTATAAAATAAAGATCATACTGAGTTAGTTTTAAGTTTTTTATCTCCTTATCCATGTAGTAAAGGCTTCAGATCTTTTGATCATAGGGTCGCTATGAGTTGTACTCAATTCAGTGGCAATCAGCAACAAAACAACGACCATATGTTGTGTCTCCACTTGTGTCATGTTCAAATGAATGGTTGTATTCTCCTCCAAGATCATTTTAGTAGCTGCTCCCCTATCTGAACTTGGCAGAAAGGTTTTGGGACCTAATTGATGCTCCCTGGTGGAATCTTTCACAGATTGCCTTGTGAAAATGGCTGAGATCTGAATACTAGCCTTTACTACTGGAAGTGTGGGATGTGAAGGGGGTGAACCTAGGAAAGTAAGGTTAATTCATGGTTTAACATGTCTCACTTGTCAAATTAAAATGATATGCAACAGCCTAGCAAGGTGTTGCAAATCATAACCTGTGGTGGTTTATTTTTTTTTAAGCCTCTTGAAAATAATAGTTATGTTTTTGGAGGGCTAAAAACAAAAAAGCATATATGGCAAATAAAGTCATATTAACACTCTGGCCTTTTACAGAATTTTTGGGTGTCATCCCTTAAATAGGAATAACCAAGATGTACTGGGTGGTACCATTTCTTGCGATGAGCAAATTGTTATGGGGAAAATAAATATCTAGTAGTGGTCACTGCCCTCTAGGTGATAGTCATAACCTGCTTTCCCTACCTCCTGGGTCCACCTCACCTGACTTCTTCCAGGGCCTCACTCATCTGGCTTATGTCTCCCTGCCTCCAGTACAAAACAGACCTCAGAACAGACCTTAGAGCAGGCCTGTTCCAAGCCCTCGGGGCATCTGGTCCGGTTTTCCAAATCAGTTACATTAGTGGAACTGTCTGGGGCATATTTAGAAAGGAGACTCCAGACACCACCTACTCCTACCTTTGTCAGGAGCCTGGAACAATCTATTTTAAAAAAACATTCTACAGGTTATGATAATTCAGGAACCTCTACCTGATAGAATAAACTAAACCCCATATCCCAGCCTTCCACCCATCCTTTCTTTCATCAACTTTTTCTGAGCAGAGGAGGCTTTCTCATGCCATTAAGCAATCAGTTCCCACTGCCTTCCCCTGGCCCCAACATACCCTATGACCTCCTACTCCTCCTTCAAAGGTGGGTCTGTCCACCTACACTTAAACTGGGCAGACTCAACCAAGTCTTACCAGGAACCCAGAGCATCCCTGCATGAGTGTTTTTAGTGTAGGGGCCTTTTTTGTAAAAGGGCAGGTAAATTTTTGTCTTTGCAGTCTATCCTGCCTCTGTCACAACTACTTGAAAATAGCCACAGACAGTATGTAACTGACTAAGTCTGGCTGTGTTCCAGTAAAACTTTACTTAGAAACATAGGAAGCAGACAAATCTGGCTCAAGAGCTGTATTTTCTGTTTCCATTTGGGCAGTACTCATACACTTGTTTACATACCCTTGGCACATGAGACAAATCCTTTACAAAGACCACTATAACCATACACCTTCTTATCTAGGCTTCCTCAACTGCTAATGGGAGGAATGATCATAAATGAGCTCATGTATCCAATAAGAATAAAAGTGTACATCAGCTATGCCCATCTTCCAGTAAAAAGTGTGACTCCAAATGCCGGTGGTGCAAACGTGTGCCTCACTATATAGAAATCACTTTTCAGGAGCCACAGCGCCTCAGGACACCCAGCATACATACGGAAATTTTGTCCCCAAACAACTACAATACAAAGCAGTGGTGATGGCTGATAGTTTCAGGAGCCTAGCCAAGTGGCCTGCTTACAGCAACAGCCAAGTGGCCTGTTTACAGTAGAGGTGACCAAGGAAGAACTTATGGCATAATTTTGAGAGAACAGCGTGGTGTGACTGACTTGGGTTAAAACCCCAGAGCCCAATCTTGCAGTATTTCAGATGTGTGACTTCAGGCACCTTACTTGTCTGAATCCTCTTCATCTGTAAGATGGGGGATGGGGCTTAAATATCACCTCACAGCATGAAGATAGAAGAGTGTAGAGGTTTAATAATATAACCTGGGAAAGTGCTTGGCCCACGGAAAAGACTTCATCAGTTTCTGTTCCCTTTGAAGGCCGAATGGGAATCTGACAAGTAATGATGGGAGGGGAGTCCAGTGTGGGAAATGAGAGTAAGCAAATGTCCAGCAGTAGAAACACATAGCATGTTCCAGAGAGAGAGTGGACCAGTTTGTCTGAAGGAAGGATCCACAGCACAGTACAGAGGGAAACAAAACTCAAAAGCCAGGTTGGGGTCATCACATTATAGGAGTAAAACAAAAGCTTTCTATGTGTTGCCCCACAGTGCCTAGCTGACTGTGGGAGATTAGGAAAAGGTGAAGAAGAATAAGCATCCGTCTTTTTTAAGAGTCAAAGTATAAGTGGCCCAATTAAAATAGATTTAACTTTTAAACAAAACTAATATTGAGAAGCCAAGGTACTCGGAAGTTTGCTAAAAAATTGAGTGAGGAGACTCTGAAACCTTTCCATTTTCACTCATGCCCTAGTAGAATGCCCAGAAGCCATGGGTGGGCTTCATTATTGGCAGAATGACTATGCCATCACTCCCTACTCCCAAGGTACATTCTAGTAGTCTGAGCAAGCCTTTGGTGATGAAAAACCAAAAGCTTAGCTGATGGCTATTTCATTCCTGGAAGCAATACCAGGCCCAACCAGAGCCAGAAAACCAGCCCCAAAACTGCTACAAATAAGGTCTTCATACTTGGGATTCTTCTCCTTGGGGAGAGGCTGGTTGAGAGCGGTGGGTTTGGCTAGTGGTGCTGGAACAACCTCCTCGGAATTGTCAGGGCTGGCACTAGGCTCAGTAATCTGGCTGTCCTCCTCCAAAACCAGTTGGCTTATTGTTACACGCTTGGCCTTGGGATGCAGTTCAGAGGCACCTTCAGCCTCAACAGGGGCAGGACTTTCTTCATCTTTTCTTGGTCTCTTGTTTTTGAGGGCTGGGGATGACTGAGATGCTTGGTTAGGAAGTACCAGATCCTTCTGATCCAGTTTTAAAAAGGTTGCTTCAGAATCCTTTGCACTGGACAGAGCTTTGAAAGCTGCTTTCAGAGTCATGTACCCGAAGGTGACTGGCGTATTCTGTAATGGCCTTTGGGGAAGAAAAAAAAAACCAACAAAAATGATTAAGTTCATGACTACTACTGCTCATCTCTCCAAAAAGCCATTTTTTTCAAAAGTGTGAAGCTTCAATTAGATAAAGAACCTGAAGTGAGGACTCTCATTATTTGAAAAAAATGGAGAGAGGTTAGTTAACACAACCTTTATAAGTGCCTGTATTATACAAGTCAGAGAGCTTAAATATGATAAAGAAGTTGGATTTAGAGTTTAAATTCACAGTCAGAAACGTAACGGAAATACAGGCAGTAGCATTCCCTCCAGAAGCTTCCATATCCTACCTGCTCATCTGACCTTCTGAAGCAGTGTAAGAACTGAGAACAGTGCTTAGCAACCATAAATCCACCCAGGCAACCAAATGGTAAACCAGCAACATCATTTTGAAGTCTCTAGACTCTTCTTCCTCCAGCTATCCCCACCCAACCCTCATGCCTTAAAATGAGTTCCTGTGGTATAGAAGTTAGGCATTTGGCTACTAACAGAAAGGTCAACAGTTTAAACCTACCTGCAGGACCCTCTGCAGGACAGAGACTTGACTTGTGCTTTGAAAACCATTCAAGGGGGCAGTTCTGCTTTGTGCTATAAGGTCACTATGACTTGGAAATGAGTTGATGGTAATGGGTTTTGGCAACAGAATAAATGAAAACCATGAAGAGAGAGGCAAACTGGCAGTCTGCAGACCAACCCTAGTTGCAGATGCATTTTATTGGCCTCCAGACTCAAACTCATTGCTGTTAAGGTGGAGCTGTCTCACAGCTGACGCTCTAGGGAGTGTTCTGGCAGCATAAACTACCCATACTTCTCTCGTGGATCTGTTGGTGGATTTGAACCTGCAGAGAGGCACAGCCTTTTGGGTTAGCTGTACAACTCCTACAAACTGTGCCATCAGAGCCACCTTTGTTGGCCTAACCTATGTGACTTTTTTAAAAAACTGGCTTAAAACATTAAAAGATTGGGAAATCTCATACAAAAATTTGAACTGAACTTTGGGAAACTTCAGATACTCTCAACCAACAAATGGAGCTGGAGGAGTATGCCTGTCTCATTAACCCAGCCCCACTCTCTGCAGTCTTACCTTAGTTCTACTTCCCTTCTGTGTATTTCCTGCCAGGTCCCCAAAAGGCACCTAAATGTGTGTGCCCTGTCAGGGGAATCTTAACACCTAACTCTGAATACTGCTTCCTGAATGTACTAAGGGATCAGGTATCCACAACAATCAAGTAGATGCAGACGAGGCAAGGAGAAAAGAAAGGAAGGTGCCCTTCACTAGACATTAGAGATCCCTGTCATCCTGTCTTTAGTACTCCTCTTTTCCCAAGGTGTCATCCCCACAGCCTTGTACTCACACACCCAAGGAACACTAAGCAGGCCGAGCCACTGAGAGAAATGGATGCTTTTCCAAAAATGACTACTCCTGTGGTTCACCCAAGAGGAAAAAAGGGCCTCCCTCTCACCGTGCAGGTTCTCTGAGCGGCTTTTCCACAGACTCTGGTACTGGCTGCTTATCTTCCTTCACTGTGCTTGAGGGAGCTGACTCAGTTTTCAAAGCCTTTTTGGCCATCTTAGAAAGAAAGAATGTCATCAGCAAGTGGAAGCCACAGAAATTCATTAATTCTTTAATCATCAACACACTCAAAAACTAAACCAGAACTAGGGGAAGGAAAAGGGAGGGGGAGGGAGGAAAATGTGCAACAATAAATTTAATAAAATTAAAACAACTCAAACTAGATTATATGTCTAAATATAATCAATGCATAAACTGTAAAAAGAATTTTAAAGGGATGCAAACTTTAATTGTCTCAAATTTCTCCTCAAAAAAAATAACATTTGTGCTCGCTTCGGCAGCACATATACTAAAATTGGAACGATACAGAGAAGATTAGCATGGCCCCTGCGCAAGGATGACACGCAAATTCGTGAAGCGTTCCATGAAAAAAAAAACATTTAAAAAAATGGCTCTTGGCTCTGTTTTCTCTATTAAGGATCTAAGTTTGTGTGTTTTTAGCCATGGTGACATTTCAAGCATTCTTTAATCTTTTTGACGTTCAATAATTACACTCATATTTTCTCTTTTTTTCCATTCTACCAATCCCATTCCTAACCCAGAGATATTAAGTCTTTGGTGTCATATAACTAAAAACATTTTTATCAAGATTAGGATAATTAAATGTTTACACTGATGTCTTCTGGTTTGTATATGTAATTGGTAATGACTATATTTCCATATAGCCTATATGAGCTTTGGTGTCACAGTCCACACGGAGTTGCATTGCTAACATAAAGGTCTCTGATGGTTCGAATCCACCAGAAGAAATATGGGCAATTTCCTCCTAAGTAATTTATAGCTCTTAAAATCCTATTGGAGGATCCACTTTGAGTTGTTTCTAACTCAACAGCAATGAGTTTCAGTTTTTTAGTTTTTATTTCCATAAATGTGTTTTTCTTAAGTAACAAATATTTAGAAATTAGTACCTAAATCATAAAGCTCTCAGGATGCCAATCTTACTCTGATGACAAGTTATCACTCTCTAACTAAAAGTTTTATACCTGTCTAGTCAGTCCAATATTATTCCATTTCTGGTACATGCATCTGTAATATGTGATGTCGTAAGAGCAGAAAGAGTTCTGTCCACACATACAGACAGGTCAAATTATGTTTTCAGTTCCCAGAATGCAGAGGAATGGATCCGAGACCAAATGTGTAAAATTATCTACTTTTCAGTTAATTAATGATTTAAAAATTCACAGGTTTATCACCAACAGTATCCTAATATGGACATGGCCAATATAGAAGTATGAGATAGGGTACTTTTAGCATTCTCAAAATTCTGGTTTAAAACAAGTAACCCAAAAGCCTTCATCAGAGTGTTACCTTATCTTGGGCCACTATCTCAGTAGCCTGGGTTCTGATTCTTCCACCATCCCTCACTGCCTCTGTTTATTTCTTTGATTTAATTGATGATTATCTTCATTGGCTTTTACTATAATTGTAGTCATAACTTTTCTCCACAGTTATCTTTTTCCTGTTAACATGTCATAGCATATCTACTTTTTCCTCCCAAAGCTTGGGTAAAATTTCAGCTCCTCTGGGGAACCACCGTAAACTATAAAGGAATTTCAGCCCACTATAAACACAACAAATTAACCAAATGCAGAGGGGGGAAAATTGGGAGGAAAGAAGTCTAGGTGTGTTCCTTCCAGGATCTCTGCTGATTTATGGCATTTAGAAGATAGTACAATTCAAAGCCTTTTCACTAAGCTTTTGGAAAGAGCTATCCCTTTCTATTCCTTGCACACACTCAAGGCCACCTGGCAGTTAACAGCAAACGGGATAAGCTACCGTGAGGAGGTAAGGTTCAGAGTGGTCCAGCTGGCTCTCCAGGAAACGCAGCATCTTCTGCTGGAAGGTCTCATAGGAAAAGTTCTGGATTACAGGATGGGCCACATTCTTTTCACGGATAATGTTCAGGAGATCATTTTTCAGCTTCTACAGAAAAGATGGACATGTGCAACATAACAAAGAAGAATGCCTTACAAATGCCATGACAAATCAAGAGAAAACATAATTATTAAAATTTCTGAAAAATCACAGACTCCCATAAATGAAGGGAAGGCAAACATGGAGTGGTCAATATAAAATGAATGGCTGAGATGCAGTGGGTTACTACAGAGTTACTGGAGTGGGAAAAAATGGTAACCCAGTTCCCTGAGCACTAATACAGAATAACGTCCAGTATATATTAGAAAGAAAAAAAAATTAAGGGAGCTCTGGTGGCCTAGTGGCAAGAAGCTGCACTGCAATCCCAGAGGTATGTGGTTTGAATCCACCAGATGCTCTGCTGGAGGAAGAGGGGCAATGTCCTCTTGTACCAGTCCTATCCAATTTGATGGTACACACACAAAAAAAATAATACAATTTTTTAAAAATTAAAAAAAATTCTGAAAGCTTCAAAACAGTATGTAGAATATGTTATTATAATATGCATATGAGGACAGAAAAGATGGCAATATAAAAATTTCTGTATACACACTTCACATTCTCATACAGTTCATTGCTTGCATACACAGACTGCTTGACAAGAAAAAAACAAAAATAACAAAAGTTATTTCTGAAGAAGGGAAGTACATAGCTAAGGACAAGTAAGGACAGATTTACACACACACACTCTCTAAATTTTTCATTTATCTTTTGAATTTTGTATAATATGCTAGTTTTAAAAAAAAAAGTGAAGCCAGTCTAACAACCTTTGACTCTAAAGGACATACCATACTAACAGTGATAATTAGATAATATTTCTGATAAAGAACTTTCTCTGTTTCCACATAAAAGCAATCTGTTGGACTTAAATAACAAAAGCAAAGATTTTACAAATTTACCTGAGTTGTAGGGTCCTTGGACATATGTTTTTTCAAAATTTTTGAAGCCTTTTCAAATTCCTTGTTTTTTATACAAATAATGACAGCCTACAAATAGGGGGAAGGGCACACAAAACAAAACAAAATTTTTTTTCTCCTTTTGTAATGTCAGATGTCATCAGAATATGAAATAATGAAATAAACTAGTAAAAAGTAAAACTGAATCTTACATTCCCAAAAGCTTTTTCATGTTATACCAAACCATTGCACTGAAACACTAACTATTGTTTAAGGACTGTGAACTGTAACACTGCACAGAAGTAAGCCGCCTCTGTAAGTTTGTAGCAGCATTTCAGTATGACACTGGATTTCTTAAAACGACTCACTCATCAAACTCTAATCCCTTGTATTATTTACAATTTACTCACTTTCACACAGACTCTTAAGAATCTAAAAAAAATTGGAGATTGTAAAAAATGGAACCCATAAAGATTCTTTATTCAGTCATCAGTGAACTGAAATGGACTGGTATTGGCCATTTTGAACAAGATAACCATATAGTTTACTATTCTGAAAATGACAAATTGAAGAAGAACAGCATAGCCCTCGAGGCAGAATACAGTATTTATTGGGGAAGGGAGGAAGGGTACCACTTATTTTTATTCCTTTGTACCTACAGCAAGGGGGGTGGAATGTGCAGGGCTATTCAGGGACAGGCATCATGAGAATCTGGCACAAAATGCAGAATTAAAGGTGACCCAAGCCTCACTAAAAAAAAAAAAAAGGACATATCACTCATCATCAAAAAGCACATTTCAGTCTAACTGCAAGTACAATGCTATCAGTGATAGGATGACATACCATATGCATATAAGGACCAGTCACTATAGACTATTATCCAAATATATCCACCAACACTAAAGACAAACATGAAGAAATTAAGGGTTTCTACCAACTTCTGTAATGATCAATCATTCAGTCAGGATGCATTACTAAAAACTGGTGATTTGATTGCAATAAGATTGGTGGTTGGAAAATATGGCTAGAGATTGTGGGACCAAACTTTCTACAATTAAGAACTTATTCATTGCAAATAACTTAAAAAAAAAAAAGGAAAGAAAAATTAGCTGGAAACTATACAGGTGGACCTCACCAGATGGAATATACAGGAACCAAGCAGACTCTAATCTGTACAAAGAGATGGTGCAGAAGCTCAGTATCAGCAGTTGGAAAAAAGCCACAGGCCAACTATGAAATGGACTATTATCACTCATATGCATGTTCAAACTGAAGCTAAAGAGAGCTCTGGTGGCCTAGTGGCAAGGAGCTGCAACTACAGTCCCAGAGGCACATGGTTCGAATCCACCAGATGCTCTGCCGGGGAAGGAGGGACAATCTCCTCCTGTACCAGTCAGATCTGATTTGACGGTACACACACACAAAAATAAAAAATAAAATAAAATTTAAAAAAAAGAAAGTGAAAATCTGTCTAAGAGAGACCATTTAGAAACTATCTCACTGAACACTAATGACTGAAGACCAAATGAGTTGTAGGATGACATCAAAGGCATCATACATGAAAAAAACAAAGGATCATTATAATGAATGACCAAAACAGGTATCAGAAGACATTCTGATACTTGTGCTTGAATATACAGAAACGAAAGAAAAAGGAAGATATGATGAAGAGAGTTAAAAAGGCAGCTTAAGAACACAAAGTATTGAAATGTGCAAAGATCTAAAATTAGAAAACCAAAGGAGATGAACACAGCATTTATCAAACTGAAAGACCTGAAGAACAAATTCAAGCCTACAGTTGTGATACTGGGCAAAATATTAAATGACATAGGAACTATCAAAAGCTAAGAGGAACAGACAATAATAGACAATATCAATATGATAAATGAAGAAAAGATTGAAGGTCAGGATTTAATCTTACTTGGATCCACAATCAACGCACATGGAAGCAGTAGAGAAATACCAAGAAATAGCAACAAAATGTTGCACTGGTCTAACTTACCTCCAAGGACTTCATTAAAATGCTAAAGAGCAAAGATTTTAAGGTGTATCTGATCCAAGCCAGGGTATTTTCTTCATATGCATATGAAAGTTGGACAAGAAATAAAGCAGAAGAACTGAATATACCAAAAACTGTCATAAAAGAACAAACAGATCTGTTTTGGAAGCAGAGTAGCCAGGATGCTACTTGCAAGGCAAAGATGAGACTGTCTCACATTCTTTGTGCATGTTATCAGGAAGGGCCAATCCTTAGAAAAGAACATTACAGCTGGGAAAGCAGCAGGTCAGTAAGTAAAAAAGATCTTAAACAAGATGGATTGACAGCAGTGGGCTTAAGCACAGCAGAGACTGTGATAATGGAGGTAGAAAGGCTGGAGTTATGTTCTTTTGTACAGAGTGGCTTTGAGTTGTTGCCAGGACAGCAGCACCTCACAAGAAGCAGCATCAATGATTGAATAGCACTGGGTTTGGTTTTGTCTGGGGTTTTTTTTTTTTCTTTTGTTTTTTAAAAAAAGGCAATATGGACTAGAGTGGTTCCAGAAACCTGGAAGTTCACAACTAGTTCACTTTTTTTTTAAAGTTCTCTTCTTTTAGAAGCAAAAAAAAATTTTGGGGGGAGATACACTATGAAAGCAAAGACCAAATGAGCTGTGGGAGGAAATAAAGAATATCGTCCATGAAGACAGAAGAGGAAGAAAAGACCAAGATGAATATCAGATGAGACTCTGATTATTGCATTAGACCACTGAGAAGCCAAAGCTAAAAAAGAAAGAAATTAGGGGAGCTCTGGTGGCCTAGTGGCAAGGAGCTTCAACTACAATCCCAGAGGCGCACGGTTCAAATCCACCAGATGCTCTGCCGGGGAAGGAGGGACAATCTCCTCCTGTACCAGTCAGATCTGATTTGACGGTACATGCACACAAAAATAATAAAATTTTAAAAAAAAATTAAAAGAGCTGAACAGAAAATTTCAAAGAGCAGCTCAGAATGACAAAGCAAGTTATTATAAATGTGCAAAGAGCTGGAGTCAGAAAATCAAACAGGCCTAACTTGCTCAGCATTTCTTAAGCTGAAGGAACTGAAAAACAAATTCAAGCCATATTTAAGGATGCTTTGGGCAGCATGTTAAAATGATCCAAGAAGCATTAAAAGAAGATGGAAGGAGTATACAGTTACTGTACCAGAAGGAACTGGGTGACACAGAAGAATTTAATGAAACAATGTAAGAGTAAGAAAAGAGCCTGTGATGATGAAGGAAGAAGTTCAAGTTGCTCTGAAAGAACTGGCAAAAAACAAGGCCCCAGGAATTGATGGCATACCAACTGACATATTTCAACAAATAGACGCTGTTCTGGATGTGCTAAGTTGTGCCAAAAAATCTGGAGGACAGCCAGCTAGCCAAGTGACTGGAAGAGATCGAAATTCCCACACCAAAGACCCAACAGAATGTGAAAATTATCAAACAGTATCATCAATATCCTATTTAAGCAAGACTCTGCTGAAAATTATCCAAAAACAACTGGAGAAACACGTCCATAGAGAACTGCCAATGTGCAGGCTGGGTTTAGAAGATGCTGTGGCACTAGGGATATTATAGCCAATGTTAGCTAGATCTTGGCAGAAAACAGAGTATCAGAGGAATGGCTATCTGTGCTTCATTGACTATGCGAAGGCTTCTGACTGTGTGGATCACAACAAACTGTGGCTGACTCTGAGAAGAATGGGAATCCTAGAACATTTGATTGTGCTTATGCGAAACCTATACTTGAGCCAGGAGGCAGTCATCAGAACAGAGCAAGGAGACACTGCGTGGTTCAAAATGGGGAAGGTTGTCTGCCAGGGATATATTTTGTCTCCATACCTTTTCAATATATATGCAGAAAAGTTCATCCGGGAGGCTGGGCTGTATGAGGAGGAATGTGGTATCAGGATTGGAGGAAGATTCATCAACAACCTGTGTTAGGCAGATGCCACAACCCTGCTTGCTGAAACTGAAGAGGACCTACAGTGCTTGCTGCAGAAAGTCAAGGACTGCAGCCTTCAATAGAGATTGAAGCTCAACATCAAGAAAACAAAGATTTTCACCACTGGGCCAAATGGCAGCATCAGAATGGATGGTGAAGAGATTGAAATTGTTAACAGTTTTAGTCTGCTTGGCACACAATCAGTACTCTTGGTACCAACAGCCAGGAAATCAAGAGACAAATTACATTGGGAAAGTTGGCTGTCAGGGACTTCTCCAGAGAACTGAAGAGCAGTGACATCAGGCGGAGACTTGGGTGCACCTGATCTAGGTCACAGTCTTTGCAATTGCGTGCTATGCGTCAAGAGAGCTGGACAGTGACTAGGGACGATGGAAAGAGAATTGATGCCTTTGAACTGTGGTGCTAGAGAATAGTGTTGAATATACCATGGACTACTGGAACAAACAGGTTTGTGCTGGAGAGGGTGAAACGGGGCTGCTCCTTGGAGGCAAGGATTTTTAATCTTTGTCTGACAGTCTCTGTCTGGGCATGTTGCAAGGAGCGATCAGTCCTTGGAGAGGGACATCATGTTTGAGAGGTTGGAGGGACAGTGCAAAAGAGGAAAACCCTTGATGAGATGGATCGATTCAGTGATTGAAGTAATGGAAGTAGGTGTGCCAGACAGTGAGGTTGGCACAGGATAAAGCAGGGTTTAGGTCTCTTGTACATAGGATCTCTATGAGTCAAAAGAGACTTGACAGCACATAACAACATACTATGAAAAGGGAGCTCTAGTGACATACAGGTAAGGATCATGCTGCCAACACACAGGCAGTTTGATTCCACCAGCTGCTCCATAGGAGAAAGATGAGCAATCTCCTTCTGTGCATTTACTTCCTCTAAAAACCTGAAGAGACCACTATGAGTTGGTTCCAAGTCAATGGTGAATAACAACTTACTGTGAAAAGAAGTCCTTGTGGCATCATGGTTAAAGTACTCTACTGCTAACTGAAGGTTGGCAGTTCAAATCCAAATCTCAGTTCAAATCTCTGAGGTAGAAAGATGTGATAGTAAAAGATTTACAACCTTGGAAAACCTATGAGTTTATCTACTCTATACTACAGG